TATACCCTTACACAAAGAGGAAAAGGACAGTGAATAAAATTGATTGAGAATTATGATAAATGAGTAATAAGGAATAGTACAGGAAATTAAGAGAGCAGCGGAGGATGAGAGGAACTGTGATGAGTGATTAAAGGCGAGTAGTTGGGGACTGGATAAAAAAAAATGTTTCTCTCGCTGAAGCAGAGCCTCATAAACCATCCAAACCTGAATGGTCCAACCTCGATGGCTGAGCGTTAACATGCCCCCCACTAAGGTGTGGGGACGGAATACGGGGCTACTAAGTAATGGATGAAGGTTATCTTGGAAGTATGCAGGTGTGGGATACGGGGCTACTGAGTAATGAGCGAAGGATGTATATTTTTTCGGAATTATGTAAGGAAGCGGCGGCAGGTCGAGGTGCGTAGCTGAGAAACGTGTTAAGTCCCGCTGGAAGCCTGCTTACGGACGGGCAAACGGAGGGAAGAGGGTAGCTAGGAGTGTAGATTTTTTTGGGATTTTTTCGGATTTTTTTTTCGGATTTTTTCGATTTTTTAAGTTTTTTTCGGAATCTTCAGGTTTGTCGTTTCTCAGTTTTTTTTCCGAAGGTGATATATGTTTTTTAGGATTTATTTTATTTTTTCGGTAAGGACTTGAGCTGGCTCGGGTCCAGCGGCATGCTTTTCGTCCGTTCTTCGATTTTCTGCAGATTCCTGGTAACCAAGGCTGAGCTCTTAGATTTGCTCAAGACCTGACGACCAGCAGTTACGAAAGAAAGGGTAGGCACGCTTTTGAACCAGGCAAAGAGGAAAGTCGGGAAATAAGCCGGCCGGAAAGGGGGACAACTCAAAGTGAAAAACGTGTGTAACTGGGAACTTCGGACGACTGTGAGAGTGAGCAGACCTAGAGAGCTTGAAGGCGGTAGGAGGGAACAGCGACATCATGAGAAGTTCTGCTATAAGTAGGACAGTAGGAAAATCATTATACATCTCGAAAACCCCCCTGATGAGGTCGCGAACTGGCAGCGACCGAAACTAGTCGGGGATGCCAGCTGCCTCCACTCTGAACTCATATCATACGGGGAGGTACCATAGCCAAGGCTATGGAATAAGCTTTGACGAATTATCTTTTTTGAAGTGATTTTGAGATTATCACATACGAATGCTGCGCTCGTCGTGGCTATGTTGTGAGCGTCTAGTCGGTCGTCACTGGCTCTGCTGTTTCTATCATCATGCCCCCCACCCCGGCCCTCACCCGAGTAACCGTTAAAAAAAAAAAAGAAAAAAAAAAGAAAGAAAGATTGAATTCGATTCGTTGATTAGTTAATCGGAAAAAATCCATCGCCATGGACTGCCGAGCGCTCTAATGAAACCCTTTCCCCGCCCTTTTCCCCCCCGCGTCTCTCTCTCTCTCTCTCTCTCTCTCTCTCTCTCTCTCTCTCTCTCTCTCTCTCTCTCTGTGTGTGTGTGTGTGTGTGTGTGTGTGTATGTGAACGAGAGAACACTGTCACATACCTACATACCTGCCACGTAAGAACACCAGCAGAATCATCGAAGACGCGCCAATTCCCTGTTTGTTGAAACTTCCTTATTTCTTCCTTTCTTTTTAGTTTTTTTCCGGATTTTGTGAGTGTGTTTTTTTCCCCGTCTTTTGTTCGTTCGGTTTCGGTTTTTTTGTTTTATGTTTCGTTTTTATCCGTTTTTGTCATTTTTGTCGATTTTTTCGTTTTCTTTTTTTTCGTTTCCCCCCCCTTTTTTTCTAGGCTACCAGCCGGGCCGCCTGGGTCACCCTTTTTTCCCGGGCGGCCCGGCCAAGCAAGGACCAGGGAAGGTCCCAGGGGGGGAAAAAAACCAAAAAATCCGAACAAAAACTAGGCTAGCAGAGTGGCCCGGGGTCACTTGCCCGGCCAGGCCAAAAAAATAAAAAATAAAAAACTATTTTTAAATTTTATTTTTTATTCTAAATTTGGTCAGGAATTTCGATGTGACCCTGAGGCAAAAGTTGCTCAGTTCAGTTTTCTGCATAACATAGTTTCCTTTCGGATGTTTTGGATTTTATTTTTTTTTTTTTTTTCACTGGGACCTTCCCTGGTCCTTGCACGGGCTGGCCACCCGGGACCCGGGCGGGCTGGCTGGTAGCCTAGAAAAAAAACTATGTTATGCAGAGGAATAAACTGAAGAACTTTTGCCCCAGGGTCACATCGAAATTCTTTACCGAATGTAAAATAAAAATTTTGTTTTAAAAATAACTTTTCTACTTTTTTTTTTTGGCCCGCCGGGCAAGCGGTCCCAGGCCACCCTCGTGGCATCGTTTTTCTTCGGGTTTTTTTTTTTTTTTTTTAGTGTTTTCCCCTGTGCTAATGCTTGAGAACGGCTTCATCATGAACGTGGCCGATGTTGTGCATGCGGTAACACGGCTGAGTGCTCAACACGTCCGTATGGAGGGAGGGAGGGAGGAGAGAGGAGGGAGGGAGGGAGGAGAGAGGAGGGAGGGAGGAGAGAGGAGGGAGGGACGGAAGAGGTAGAGAAATGTGCAAGGGGCTAGGAATCGTACCGGTCGACCGGTCGCACCGTGTGCGCATGCTCAACACCCACTGGCAGACTGTTTTAGGTTTTGTTTTTTTTCCCCTTTTGGACGGTGGGAAACACTCTTCTTCTTTATCACAATCTGCTTAATCTTTTAAGAAATCACAGAACGTTTCCTCTTCTCCTACCGTAGGCGGGTCTCCAGGGACTGCACTGAGGCCCGATCACAAAGACCAAACGCACGAGATCCAAACCTGGTTCAAACTAGGTCCAAAACTGCTCCGAACCTGGTCCAAATCTGATCCAAACCTGGTCCAGACTTTATCCAAATCACGTACAAGCCTGGTTCGAACCAGGTTCAAACTAGGTAACCCGAACAAGGTCCAAACCTAGGTCTACATGAGTTCAAAACCAGGTCGACATGAGTTCCATACAAGATCCAAACAAGGTCCAAACCAGGTCCTCCGGACCAGGTTGTCTTCCGAGACCCAGGTTCTGCCGAACCAGGCCAAGACTACTCGGCCTGGACCAGGTCCCGACCAGGTTGTCTTTCCAGACCCTTCTCAATAAATTTGCAAACTGTGTCACGTATCTCCGGACTTCTCCCAGCTTTTTTTTTTTTTTTTAATTATAAAAAATCTCCGAGCTTCTCGACCTGGTGGTCGCCGTAACAAAGAAGCGTTCTTTCTAATTCAATAATTAAATAGCGATTTCATTAAGCATGCCGTCCACGTACAGAGCATCATTCCCAACAACCCTCGTTGCACATCGCGGAGAAGACGAGATGCTGCCACGTGGCTAATCAGTCTCAGCGACATTTTTTTTTTATCGCCATACATCAAGGCCACCATATAGACATAATGCCACGTGGACAAGACCAAAAAAAAAAAATACAACGCCGACGAGCAAGTATTGAATGTACGTGGCGTAGGTCTGCAGAGGGTTTCTTATGCAGATTCTTTGGCAAGTTCGGAAGCAAAAACTGTTCAGAGACAAATCCACTCACCCAGAGGAATCAAAAGGGCCAATCAGGTCCCAGATTCGATTGGCAATCAGGAATCAAAACGGGCAATCATCTTGGCTTATTGGCAAAAGAGAAGTCCACTATTGGCAAAAGAGAGGTCCACTATTGGCAAAAGAGAGGTCCACTGTGGTTCCTGCGTACATGGGCGCTAAACGGTCAGTTGGCTTCCGTCTCCCAGGAAGGGAACCTGATCATTAGCCCATGGTTGCTTCTTCGGATTAGAGGACAGGTTACTTTGCAGATGGAATAGTGGAATGGTCGCGGCCTTTCCGTAGCGGTGCTTTTACTGTCATTTTAGACAGAACTCAGAATTCTGTTGTGGAACTGTGTTTGGATTCCAGTAGGGAGAGTAAGGAGGTGTTTTTGGGGATACAAGAGATAAGTCAGATGGGGCTATGGGGGTATTTAGTAAAGTTTTTTTTGAAGGGAGTGATCAAATATTCAAATGATTCGGTGCTTCAAGCTTACTTTGGAAGAGTTGTCAGTTGGGAAGTATCAGGGACGCTGGACCCGGTTTCCAGCACAAGCCTTAGCTGGGTAATGGCCCCAGTTTTTCCTCCGGGTTCTTTGTTGAGGTTTTCCCGGCCTCTATTTCTATTTGTAATACAACGCCACAAAAAAAAAAAAAAAAAAAAAAAGGAATGAATGTACATCGTACTACCGTACCTTCGACCCAACAACAACAACAACCAAAATAATAATAATAATAATAATAATAATAATAATTTTTTAAAAAGCCCATACCTTAGGCTCCTCCTTGCGAATTCCAGGGTTGATATGAGATGCTGCCGTCGCTGTGGATGCCTCAGTCTCTCCTGCTTGCGCCCTGATGCCGGCGAATCCCGCTCTTCGAACTGCTGACCGCCCGGTCAGTCTAGCTCCCGCCAGCATATTGATGGGAGAGGAAGACGATGCAGACGAGCCCTCCAGGAGGCGGGAAACCCGACCTAATGAGGCGGCGGCGCTCATGCTGCTTACCGCGCACACACTCCCCGTCGCCATCAACGACGCCATCGCCGAAACTGCAAGGAAGCTAATCAACCAAATCCAATCACCCACCGTCGGCCGATCCAATCCACAAGTCAATCACCCGCCGTCAGCGACACCAATCAAGCCACCAACCAACGCCGCCAACCGTGCCAATCAACAAGCGAACCCCACCAAAAACCGACCGATGAGGAAGAGGCGGGAAATCGACGGTGGGATGGAATCCCTCTCGTCGAACACGACAGCTATCGCAGCCGCTTCGTCAGGGTAACAGCTTTCTTATACCACCACTTCTGCTACCCCGTTAATTTTGTCGTTATCGATACTGCCGGGGCCAAGTCCCACAAGAAGCGTTGAGTTTCCTCAACGCCCGAATCTGGACGTGTTTGTGGACATGGGCAGTAAATGGCGTTGATTTTCAACAACGGCACCTCTCCAGAACACGTCCAGATTCGCCGGACTGGACTGGATATAGTCGCCCTGGTATATCCCGAGAGAGGTGCAAATTGGCGCTGGGACTGGACGTAGGAGGGCCTCGCTGCACTACTCTCGACATGCACAAAAGACAAAACTCATGGCGATGTGTATCTATCCATATTCTAGCGGAAGATTCGCTCTCGTTTTGCACATTTCGAGAGTAGTGCAGCGAGGCCCATAGGGGGGTATTCCCATCTTTAAGTGGGGTACAGATGCAATTTTTTCCCAAAGGAAAAAGGACGGTGATGCCATTCGTGGATGAGAGCCTGGAACCCTCGCAAAAAAACACGGATGACACGCACAAAGAACCACTCTAGATTGGCATGGAGTACCGGTCCCCCGCACCGCATCGAAGGACCGGTCTCCCACTATGTCGTTCCTTTCCGCCCGCGGCATCAACAACACGAAACAAAGAACCAACACTTTGAATGTATCGGGACCATATCAGGACCATACGTTTAGGATGTGGGCCTGTGGAGCAAGGCCCATTAAGGGAGGCTGACCTCATCTGCTGACGTCCGCAAACGCAGAGTCGAGGAGTGATCGTATGGGGGATTTCTTTTCCAAGACCATGGCATACAATACTTCTGCTCATTAGGACGGACATGATGGCAGATTGGGTAAGGCCTAGCTCACTTGGTTAGGCAAGCAAGTGGCATTCAGGAGGTTGTGGGTTCAAGCCCCACAACCACCTGCGGCGCACTTTGTGCAAACCAGCGGCTATCACCGCTTCATACCTCTGATCCGCATTAGCAGGGTCCTTGGCCAACACGGGTGTGAGTGGGTTGTGTGTGGTGTGTGGGAGAGTGTTGGCCTTAGACACTGCTGTTATTCGGTTGGGGGTGGGGGACGATGAAAAGGGAGGCACAACTACTGGCAAAATGCTCAGTCTTTGCGTTAGCCGGATCCCCACCGGCAGCCCCACCATCCTCGACCACCATGGTTGGGGCGGGGGGCAACATGATCCCCTCTGATGGCTGGAGGGAGACAACAAAGCTATGTCTGCAGGGGTCCCCTGCATAAGTCTTAGGAGTAGTGGTAGGCAGGTAGTGAAGGTGAATTGAAAGAATTTGAAGGATGATGAAAGATTTGAGAGAAGAGAAATAAGGAAGGGTGCCTCTCCAAATGGACTACTTCATACTCATTAGCTGACCACAAATACCTTTCCCCGCTTACCCGGCGGAAGCCAAGAGGGATCGGGACGTAGTTGATAAATTGAATCGGCGGGTCGTTTTCCATTTTCAGCCTTTTTTATTTGCCTGCGGCCGATATATGGGAAAGGTACTGGTACTGGTGATTTGAACCTATGAAACACCCGCGGACGCGTCCGCGGGGTCGAGCTCGGATCGCGGACCGCGGCCTACCTGGTCCGCACCGCGGACCCGATTTTACACGAATTTTCCTGAATTAAATAATAGGTAAAAAAAAAAAAAAGGGGGGGGTGTAGGGAATTTTAAGCCTTACAACCCCATTTATTTTATTTTTTTTGAATCCGACTTTGTTTAGGATTTTCAAAAAATCAAAAACGAAATTGGATTTAAAGAAAATTAAAAAATATATATATAAAGAAAAGCAGGAATTTTTTTTGGTCATTTTTTATCATGAGATATATGGTTCGTGAGTTTACCTGTATTTTTTTAGAAATGAATTTATGTTTTTTGCAGAAGTATGAGGTGTTTTGAAAAAATGCAGATGCAAAATTAAAAAAAAAA